TAGTTCACATTCACAAACATGGTTTCGACTTTCGAGAACCACGTTTTTCCAACATAATCCTCTAGGCGTCTTATAAGTCAAGTCACACTCAGTTTTATCATATTTTCATGATTTTTATTTGTTTGTCATTCAACTCCTCATTTTGTGCAAGAGCCATTCCCTTACATGATGATAGTAAAGGATCCCACACGCTTATATGATAATGAAATTTATGGTGGATGGATGCGACCGACCTATAGCAATTATATGCATTGGTAAAACTAATTCAGACTCAAGAAGCAAGTATTACACATACAGCCAAACTGAAATCTTAAAACCTAAGTACTGATTTAAAACAGATATACGTATAAAAGAGAGTAACAAATTACATCTAAAGTTTCTTTTGTATTATAAACAGAAGCGAACTGTACAGTTTCACTCATTTGGCAAACTTTGGGGTAAATTTACAATGGAGCAAGATCGAAATTGAATATGTACAGAGAGACAAACTGAATGATTCTATAATGTTTCACGCTTTTTCTTCTCTACCAAAATTATCCCATCGTTCTGGCTTTACGAGGGGAAAAAGAATGGTTCTGCACTTACTCTATTCAAACCTATACACCTGCAAGAAAATCAAACAGGTTGAAAACATCAAGTGCGAAAAAAACAGTTCGGGCACCAAAAATTCATATAAAGAGCAAACTGTTTTTCCTTTCAAGGTCTATGCGAACTGAGTTTAGTAGACTTACATACTAAATGTAAAAGGGACCTCACACCAACATGGATGATAATCTGTAGCAAACTGTTAGAAACAGGAGCAGTAAATGATTAAAGCCAGGTTTGGTTTTCAATCTGCTCGACGAATTACCACCGCAATTGCAATAACCAATCTGAGAAAATGTAAACGGGACCAGAAATTTACCTGGGTTTATCGGTGTTGGTCTTGATTCCTATGTTTATCGGGGCCTAAGTACTTTTCCATGGATTCTTTTTTATGTTCAGGATCAAGACTGAAAGGAGAAAAAACCTCCATGAGTCTTTCATACTTTACAAATAACAGATTTTTTCCAGCCCTATTTCCAAAATTTAAATTATGAACCGACCTATTTCTGATGCCAACAAGAGCACTATGTACAGCCCTGGCACATGCTGAAGCAGGTGCTATAGCAGCTGTTGGAACTGCCTGAACAACTGTTGCAAATGCTGATCCAGCTCCGTCTCCACGTTGATACTTCTTCAAAGGTGTGCGGACTAATGCAGAAGCTGTCTTTCCTATTCCATCACCGATGCTCTCGCATGCCTACAAAATCTCAGAAATGTAAATATATGATCCAGGAGTGGACAAGGGATTATTTGGGCAGAAATGCAGGACATGTATTGCCTTTACACTCACCTGACGCATGCCTTGCTTAGCGTTTCTAGGCTGATTATGTCTAACATTCGTCTTCGTTTTGCCTTGGGGCTGTGGCGACGATGGTGCACTTGCAAATACATATTCTGCTCTCAACAAAATATCATGAGCTCCAGCTGCCAAGTGAACACCAAGTCCAACAGCTTCCAGTGAGATGCTCCTGAGAAATGCAGTAGTACCTGAAATCGACAGTTACAGCTCAGGATGTATAACACAAAACTATAAATTAATGGCTGAATCAAGCACATACGGAATAATTTGGCCACAGCAGGAGATACTATGGATCTTGTTTAAGAGAGGCAATTCTCATATCAGCTATGTTAGAAATCGTATTTATAAGGGTTTCCTAGTCATGGTGAGAGGGCTAACAGCAAATATCATTAACCCTTGTTCTGGAGGTATGAGGGTCTAAGATATATATTAATAGCAGAAGAAACCTTTCATTAAACAGCTCCAGTTATAACATAATACATGATAAACGAATCAGTGCACCATAGGTAGCTTACTTTTAGATAATAAAAAAGAATAAGAGGAAACAAGGAAAAACAGTAGTGAAAATTGAGAATTGAGCACTCTGGGTTCACGCCTTACCTCTTTGGACTCCCTTTACTAGCCTTCGATCTTTTCTGTAACTTTCAACAGGTGAAGAGACCAGCTTCGTCGCAGCAGCATAAAGAGCAGAAAGTGATCTTACAGTTGGGATCCCTTTCAATAGTTGATGAATCTAAAAATACAATGACAGAACATTAAAAAGCTAGTCAATTAAACCGATAAATGGATGATTATTAATGTGCACAAAACAGCATGCTATGTAAAACGTACCTGATTCTGAGATATATCTTCCAGCCATTCTCCCAGTATAGTCTCACATACATTGCCCCAGCCGTAGATTCCAGCAGCATGCACATGTTTGAGCTGTAGTTCGATACCCTGCATATGTTCCTCTGTAATGAGTAAATGATGCTGAAAAAACCTTGAAGACACATGCTGAAATTTTTTGTTGCTTACCTTCCAGGGAACAAGGTTCACAAACTCTGCATATTTCCCTCCCGTTAGTGCTGCTAGATCAACATGATGGGGACTGTAATCAACTCGGACACTAACAGGCCATATGTCGAATTTCTGCAAATGAATTTCATTAGTCAGATAATTTTTAGTAAAATCAACCTTCATAGGAAAAGACTTCCTCCGAATTCTGAATTACAAGAACACCGAGGTTTATAACATCAGCTGAGTGGCATCATATATTTGTTTTGGAGACATTAACATGATTAGTATCACACTCATCTGAGCATTAAAACACGCCAAATCATTATGTAATTACACGTCCTAGGAAGGTAACAGATGAATGCTTCTCCTCCAGCATCATACTAGTTTATATGTAGAAAGAAGCTCTATTAACCTGAAAATATGGAAGAAGCGCTTCTTCTATGATATTATGTCCTTTAATAGAAACCGACAACGCTGAACCACCTGAGTCTCCAGCGGAAACTACAGGCTTTTCTAGGCTGTTAGCTCCAAAGAAGCTGATGAGAAAATCCAGTTGACTTTGATGAAGATGCAACAGTATAGGGAGTAAAGCAACACGTAACCTGGGAGGAAGCAATTCATAAGAAAAAGGAAAACAAGGGTATACATATGTGCTAACTATTATTTAAGCCATAAGCAGAAGGTCCATTTGAAGTTATAATGAAACACCAAAACCTATCTAAGGAAAACAATTATAAGTATCAGAGAAAATACATCTGTAATGTATTAACCCTTCTATTTTGCCAAAAAGGGGGAATTGTGGAAACTATTCTGTATAATTATTACTACCTCCATGAAATAATAACCTTAAATATTTAGTATTTATGCAACTGTCTTTTCCTTAGATAAGCACTAAATTTTACAGTGCAGCTAATTAATAGAAAATGAACATAACTTGGAAAATGTTTCATAGAGTTGTTGGGAACAAAAGAATTGTACTAAGCAAGCAAACATTTGTCAGAAATCCAATTGTGCACACAACTAGGGCAGTGTTTGTTGAAATAGTAAATGTGGTCTTCATGGTTAGATATGAAAAGAGCATAACACTGAAATAATAGAGATAGCATACCGGTTTTCCTCAAGTGGCGTTTCAGGGTCAGGTCTGACAGCTTTTAATTCCAACTTGAATGCATTTGAAGAGGAATCTCTTGGGTGATCTTTCGAGTTGTAATATCCAAGGACCTATAAATCAAGGGAAGAAGTTAAATTATTTACCCAGGTTAGTTCTCGTATAATTAATCTTATGATGATAGTAGTGAAAAAAAACTCAATTACCAATGTCCAAGGTGCATCTTTGCTTCTATCATAGAGATAAAAATCTTGGACCATGAGAGATAGCTTAGAGGTACATATTCCGCCAATTGGGAAGATTTCATACAGGAATTGCACCCCAGATAATTCCAGCTCAAGGCAAGAAGTTGTATCCCGGCCCTTCATATGTTTATATTTTTCACCTTTCTTCCTAGAGCCATGCCAATCAGAGCCAGAGTAAATTATCCATTTGAGGTCGATGTTTTCCAGAACTATACGTCCATTAGCTGCTACAGCAGTATAAGACGTCAGGCCAAAAGGTGAAAATTCTCCATCCAGAATATGTTCCTCATGATCTTCCTCAGTTGCTTCTGACACATGGTCTTCTAAAATTCTAACGGACGTGTCATCATACCACCCCGAATTTCCTCTCCTCAAATCAGTCTCAAGAAACAATTGTCTCCCTGATGGATCCCCTTCTCGAGGTACCTCTGACAATGGATGGAACTCAGACAAACAATAGTTTTCAATTATTTCAGGCAGGCCATCTCTTTCTAGGAATATTTGACTGCTTTCTGGTTCTAATCTAGATGATGACCCACAAAACTGATTAGAAGGAAGTTTCACAGAAGTAGCAGGTACCCAATTACATGCCTGCCCATGAGAGATTCCATGAGATGACATATAGTTCTTCTGACATTCCAAAGCGTCAGACTGACTACTAGGTTTGACATCAAATTGGAAAGCTTCTTCATTTATTTCGTCCATCAAACCAATGACCCCAGTTTCAGTTTCTGAATCTATTCTCAAATTTTTCATTTCTCCACTTAAATCGGAGTTACTGAGTCTATCACTGATATCAAAATCATTCCTCACATTCGCCTGCTGAATGTTGTCCCATCGAGTCTGCAAGTGCACAGCTGATTCCTCCAAATCAGGAGCAAGTAACTGTTGGAGCTGCGTGGCCAAGCGAATCAAACCAGAGGTCGTGTCACTGCAAGTTTCAAATAATAAGTGAGATTTTGAACACTCTAACTCCCATAGAAGGCCATTTTCAGAGTTAGTTCTGAGAGTTGCTTCAATTAGCGCCTCATTAGCAACTTTAACATAGCCAGACTCATGAAGATGCTCTGAACTGTACGTTCCATGAAGCCTGCTAAGGTCCAAATCCACGGATAGAAGAAGCCCAAGATCTTGAATCCTGATTCTGTAATCATTTCTTATGGTATCAACCAGGCTTTTCTTTGAAAGGCTAAAAGAAGATGCTGCTACCAGACAGGCAACCCATGGATCACTTGGTTGATGTAAATGATCTGTATTCTCATGGTGGGGCTCATAGCTTAAACCAACATCAACCAAATTAAGAACAAACGAGGAGCCACTAGATGAGCTGGAGTTTCTCTCTTGAGAATTTTCCTTGACTTGAAAAGTGAAAAAAGAATAAACCACTTCTATCCAATCTAGGCGTCCTCCTACGGCAGAAATCGTACAGCCCCTGAGAGATACTGCTAAATAATCATAACAGATCTCTGGTTCCTTTAAGTGCAGAATATCTAAGCCAGCCAACCTTGATGACAATGCATTTGAACCGCCTCCATTACCGCGCTTTATCGCAGAGTTGCTACATGAGAGCAATAGCAACTCCTGATCAGGTAGACCTGTAACAGAACCCCATAAAGTGCCTTCTCCATGGGCTAACCAAAAGAAATCAGCACCAGAGATACTGCCAAGATTTGAGACAGACATAAGATTTAACTTCTGAACCCTCAGGTTTAACTGAATCCATGATCCAGGAAGCTCAATCTGTATCTGATTTTTTATACCCATTCGAGGTTCTGGCCTAACCAAAATGTCAATAGAATCACATTCCACAACGAGAGACGTTTGACACACAAGAGATTCCTCTGTTTTGTCAGCTGTATTAGCTGCCATACGTAATAGGCAATTTTTTGCCTCGTCTATGAGATTGCAGAATTTGCTGTATTGCCAGCTATCTAAACGGATAGCAAGTGGAAGCAAATGAACATAGAGGCAGAATGAAGAAGCCAAAATCATCTCTTTCCTGGTTTGAGCGTAGATGTCTTCTTGATCTTTGGCAGAAGCAACAGCAGCAAATTCAAGGCCATTCCTCCCAGATTTATCTGTCTGAATAGATTCTTCTTGCGTAGCCAGCATCTTAGCTCTCTCCACTAACCAAGGGCTACCGAGAGGTCTATCTTGCCAAAACATACCAATAGTTGAAAGTTGGTGACTAGTTTTGTTGTTGGTATGTAAAATATTATATGCAGATAATTCACCCTGCATACTATGTGAATTTCTTTCCGAATCTTTAAGGTCAGAAGTAACCAAATAGATGCTAGCATCACCAACACAGAAGCATATGGAGCGAGTAGCCGAGGTAAAGTACATTTCTCCTGGACTTCCTTCCTTGAGCCTTTCCTTGTCAGAAGGCAGAGAGGAAGATAAGTCGACTACAATAAATTGCTCACCAAGCGAGTTACACAACCTTGCTGACATAGTCTCAAAAGGGAAGCATATAATCGCTCGAGCATTCCAGATTGACACAATACCTCGCAATCTTTCGGTTTTAGAAGAGGATGCCACCTGATTCCTATCATGACTAGTTATGGGGATAGATTCTGACACATCATTGAAAAGATTTACCAACATTTCTACTGAATGAACGTTCAGCCAGAATGTGGTAGGTGGTAAACCTAACGAGAATGAGTTTGATCCTCCAGGGCTGACGTTGGATGATTGGAAACAGACAATAAACTGAAATCCATTTCCCCCTGCAGCTATAACCAACAATTTCTTGACTGCAAAACCCTTGTTACGAGAGAGGAAGCTATCAGAAACTATCTCACTTAATCTTTTGGAGTCAGTATTCATATCAGATGAGGCAAAGGGAGGAAGGGTAGTCTGAACGTTGGCTTGTAAATTCTTAATCAAACTAGTCTGATATTCAGCATTAGCGGTGTCAACAACATCTCCAGCTTGAAAATATTCAGCAATCTCCACGCTGTTCACTTCTCCTTTTAACCGCATATCCTGAGGGCATACCTGTTGACCTTATCAAATTTAAGTAAATCGGGCACAGATACTAGTGAGGGGAGGAAACACAATTCATCCAAGTAATTACCTGGAAAGAGACAGAAATATCTCTGAGTTCTGCACCCAAGTAGTGAATCCCCGTGGAAATATCCTTCCAATTGTCTTCATCTTGGAAAAATAGTACCACCGAAACTCCAGCAAAGGATACTTTACAACTTGTTTCAACGTGTTTCTGTTCTGCATATTGATGAGAATAGTTGCAGATGAAGAAGAAATGGTGAATTGGGAACAATCCTAAGAACAGGAAAAGATGCAGGCCTATGAAAGTAGAAGCTACAGATAGTGCAGACAGTTTGATACTATAACGACTTACACTGCTTGGCAAGATTAGCTAATGGACTGATTTAAGCACAAAGCTTGATGATATATAGGTTAGAATAGAATAAACAGAAGAAGAAAAAAAACCTAAGATTACATAACAGGGCTATCAAAACACCAATATAAGAAAGCTATCATATATTTATGCTTAATGCACATTTTAAACATAATTCAAATAATTATAATTACCAGAAGGAAGAAGCAAAGACCCAGAAGCAAGGCTAGATGCAGCATTGATTGCTGTGAAGACAGAAGATGTCCAATTCCACAATCCTTGGCTTCCAAACGCTGATTGGTAACTCCTCATTGCATCAAAACATTCAAAAAACTGGTCCACACTGTAGGAAACAAGAAGAGATAACACATAAGAGAATTCAGTAGAAAGAACTAAAGGTAAAGTCATATTCAGATTGTGACAAAACATGAAAAAACCAGTCAAGCAAAAGATACAATATCTTTGAATGACTTGTGACAACGATATCTTATGCTAGAGACATCGTTTATACCTTGCACCAATATCTACTTCTCCATCCTCTTCTTTCTTACTGAATGAAGCTGACGGAAACCAATCTGGTATAAACTGTAACCCAGGTGTACTATCAGGCTTCACTTCTTGGCCACCTGACAAGGATGATGTAGCTGGAGGTGTTACCATTACATTAGTAGGTATTGCAGCTGAATCCGTCGATGAATCAGAATGAGAAACTGATGGGCAGCACTCTGATCCGAAACTTATGAAAGTCTTCCACAATCGTAAGAACCATCTAATTGTAGATGGTTGAAATCGTAATTCAACAGGATCAATACAAATATCAGCATCCACCTTGCGAATGTCTAAGGAACCATTCCTCCAGGGTATACTTAAATTCAAACTCCCTGAAAAGCCACCTCCTTCGCCTGTCATGATTAAAGTCACAGCATTTGATGGTTTTTTACCACAAGTTTTTTCCCCATCAACATCATCCATATTTAAAAGCTCTAAAACTGCCCCTTGAAACTTCACACAGTTTGCAAGCCGATTAATACCAAGGAAACTATCAGGGGAAACCTCATTAGTCGAAACTCGGTCCTCTGAAATTCCACACTCTATCTCTGTCATTCTAAGTACCAATGTTGGTCTTGGACTAGCTTCATTCTGTTCTTTGCTAAAATCAGGATCAAAGGCTATTATCAGATTCTTAATTTTGACATGAAAACTTGTAAGAAACCATTTCACTATCTTTGCAACAGTCTTAACGCCTTCGTGGACATCGATAGACGCAGAGTTAGCAGCGTTCACCAACATCTCATTCTCATGCTTTCCTAGTCCAAGACGACTATTATATGACTCTTCTCGGGTAGAGGCGGAGGTGCTGGCTTCATTTGAAGATGATGCATTACTCTCCAAACGTGGTGCAAGAACGAGCTCAAGCTCGTCCAACTCAACTTGACAACCATTGGTCTTCCAAGGCATTTTGACTAACAAAGATCCAATTGAACCTTCCTTTATGATCAGCGGAGCATCAAACTGGATTCAAAGAAAAAAAGATGATACAGAGGATGAGACTCTCAGAAATGACAAACCCTGAAGTTCTCAATTCTAGGCATACAAATCCGTAAATTTGAAGCATCATTTGGAAAAGGAAAANAAGGGAGAGAGAAGGGGAAAAACCTTGTCATTCAAATAGTCAACGTTGATAGCAAGATCGGAGAGCTGAATTGTGCCATCTCGAAGCTGAATATCGAGCTGATCAAGGTCAATATCACCAAGTATGAGTTTACCCAATTTCTTCTTCAACAAGAATTTGACGACCCTCTTCACCGCCCACCTTGAGAAAGCTGCCTCCGCCGATTTAGCAATGTTCCACGGAAACATCGTGTTCCGTTTCCGATCAGAGAACCCAGTCCAAGACTCTTGATTTTGGATGATGGAGATTTAGGGTTTTTGGGGTTCGCGGGAATTGGGGATGGTGATTGATTGT